ATATACAAAACAAAGCAAATTAGTACAAGGAAAATTATAGAGCACAGATTAGACTTCCTGCTTTCCATTATTCATTTTATTGCTTGTAAAATGCAGGTTTAAAGGCCTGTTATGCAAACAGCCTTTAGAAACAGGAATGATATTAGCTACATGCAGATCTAAAGCTGCAAAAATCAACTCCAAATTAAATGAATTAATTTCATTAATTCACCACACGGTTACTATAATTTTAAGGTTCACAGTACAAAATAAATTCTGATTTATTTTTTTATGGTTATAAAAACCAGGTGCACATCCTGTGTTTCAGCAGGGTAAACCACTCAGAAAGTAACAATTTTTGTTTAAAAATCTTTTCAGTGAGACATGTCAACTTTTAAATTCTACTGTACATGATAGAGTTAAGTTTGATTCATAACCTGTATCCTAAATCTCTGAAGGCAACTTTGATAATTAGAAACTTGTTTCAATGTGTGGACTGAGAAAAGCAACATGACAGAGAGGTCAAGAATAGAAATGAGGAGGATCATATTAATTTTTCACTACTAAGCTGGTATACGAGATATAGCAATAAAGTGACTTTATTTGAAGTTGTATAATAGGACTAATTAGTGAAGAAATAATAAGTATTAGGGTACAAAATCATGGATTAAGAATGTGCTCTATGCATTCATATTTCATGACTTCAATAGCTAGGATTGGTACTGGGGGAATAAATGAACCAAGCCTCACTGCTATTAGTAGGTGTTAATACTGGCAACAGACTTAAGGAGGCAGAAAAACTGGGGTTAAAATGTGCTACATAACTGCAATTTAAATCAGGAAATAAAACATTATTGAATTTGTGAACTTTACAGATTTGATTTTATAACTAAGGTTTATGTTGTACAATTGCCTTTGGCTGAGGTGTAGGAGCTTGACTGAGCTTGCTTCCCCCTCTCCCCCCAAACTCCCTGACCAAGGAAAGTTTTCTAGCTCAGTTATTTTCATTCTTCATCTCCTCCCCACTCCCTTGCCTCATCTCTTCCTTGGAAAATAAACTACAAGACAAGCAGAACTGTTAATAGCTTGTGTCAACATTTGCTTTACTGTAGCTCAAAAAAAGTTGCAAAAAATTTTACTTTAAGCAAACTGACTAGTGTAACATAAAAGGAGAGGAACCCCAAAATGTCTATCCTCAACGTTTGAGACAGTCACCCAAGTCACTATAGTAATTTCTTGCCTTTTTTGGTCATCTGCACAGTGTCTATTTCTATTCGAGGGCAATAGACCTAAATAGGAACATTCAAATTAAGAATGAATCACAACATGTCTCTAGGCCTGGTTTGTAAGGACAATTTCTAGAGGTGAGAGATTATTCCAGTTTGGATCTCCATTCAATACTAGTGGAATCTGTAGAGACTTAATCAAGCATGCCCAGTAGTGCCACTCACAAAAGAAACCTCTGTGATGAGGCTATTCCTCCCTGAAACTCCTTTCACAGAAACCTGAGTTTTAAAACTGATCAAGGCTGAACCATCAACCCAGAGGTCAAACCTTTCATATCCTACTGCCAAATTGCAGTGGGAGAGGTCTAGGTTGGTATTAGGAAAAACCATTTCACCAGGAGGATGACAAAGACCTGGAAAGGGCTAAATAGTGTGGTGGTGAAATCTCCATTCCTTTAAGTCCTGGCTTAACAAAGCCCTGGCTGGAATGCTTTAGTTGGGATTGGTCCTGCTTTTAGCAGAGAGTTGGATTCGAAGACCTCCTGAGGTTGCTTCCGACCCTACAATTCTGTGATTCTGTAGAATTCCTGCTCTGTTCAGCTCTCCTGGAAAGCCCTGATGACTGTAATAATTAAATGTTTTCTGCTCCTTTTTTCCATTTATAGTCATGACCAATATGGAAATGCCAGCAATCAATTTTATATAATTAAGAACAGCAACAAAAAAAATCACAAACACATATATGCATTTCATATTCACTACTGCATCTAAATAGTGTTGTCTTCTGAAGCACTATGTTAATTACATTTTGGACAGGTAAAACAAAAACAAAAAATGCTTTTTATGTCTTCTGTCTTATTTTGCTGTTAATGGAATTAATTTGAGCTGCACCTATATGCACTGCAATGAATATATACAGATAAGACATGACTGTAAAATAAAAAATAATGTTAAGGTCATTCTTAATTATATTCCACAAAAATAGACAAATATAAAAGAGTACGCATTTGGGAAGAGGAGAGTTATTGCATTTCACTGGCCACTGTAAGGATGTCAGGCTACGTCTAGACTACATGGCTCCGTCAACGGAGCCATGTAAAATAGTTTATTCGGCATAGTCAAAGAAGCGGGGATTTAAATTATCCCCACATCATTAAAATAAAAATGGCCGCTGTGCTGTGCCGACGATCAGCTGTTCCGGCACAGCGCGGCAGTCTAGACGTGGCGCAGTCGACAAAGGAAACCTTTGTCGACTGCTCTGGTATGCCTTGTGAAACCGGTTCCCCCTAGCACTGTCTCCACAATGCTGCCTCCCCTCCCATCTGCTGCCTCTATGAGAGGCGGGGGGGGGGGGGGGGGGGGAAGATGGGAAGCGGCTGCAGAG